CTTCTTAACACCGTAGTTTCTTAATGGACTATTATCAGGGTATATTGCTAGGGGGGGGAGCTGACATTTCTCTCAACCCAGGTTCCTCAACATAATATCTGTGGGCATAATGGTTCCCTTGAAGTCTTGCCCTGGTGCCCACAAAGGGGGCTCACTGCCCGCTTGGTCATGAGCTGCATTGAAAACTTCATAATGCTGAAGGAGGAAGTGGGGCAAGTGATGCTCTTCCCAACTTCCTGTTTCAGCTCTATGTGCTTTTCAGGGCTCAGAATAATTCTACTGGGTCTGACTTTTACCCACATTCCTTAAAAGGCAAAATGTGTGTGTACTTTCTAGTTTATTTATATATCCCTCCGAAGACAGCGGTTTGATCCTGAAGAGGTGAGAAAAGTGATTGGGGGGTGTCACACTCATGGCCCTTGCTCCAAAATCCAAACGCGCCCATGAGCCTCAAAAAGTTGTCAACCTTTTCTCTAGCCATGTCTGCATCCTCTTGCCTCCTTGGTTGTTCTGAATTTACTGGAAGGGAAGGAGGGAGATGAGAATAAGGGGCATAATCTTCAGGTGGCAGATTGGGAAAGGTTATGCAAAACAGACCTGAAATTTACGGCATGTAGTACGCTGAAAGAAAATTATATGAAAATGATGTACCGGTCATATCTGACTCCTAGTAAGCTAGCAAAAACGCATAGAACAAGTATGAATACCTGCTGGAAATGTAAAGAAAAAGAAGGTACCTTTTATCACATATGTAAGGTAAAGGTAAAGGTACCCCTGCCCGTACGGGCCAGTCTTGACAGACTCTAGGGTTGTGCGCCCATCTCACTTAAGAGGCCAGGGGCCAGCGCTGTCCAGAGACACTTTCCGGGTCACGTGGCCAGCGTGACGAAGCTGCATCTGGCGAGCCAGCGCAGCACACGGAAACGCCGTTTACCTTCCCGCCAGTAAGCGGTCCCTATTTATCTACTTGCACCCAGGGGTGCTTTCGAACTGCTAGGTTGGCAGGCGCTGGGACCAAACAACGGGAGCGCACCCCGCCATGGGGATTCGAACTGCCGACCTTTCGATCGGCAAGCCCTAGGCACTGAGGCTTTTACCCACAGCGCCACCCGCGTCCCTATCACATATGTAGTGGTCATGTAATAAAGTAATAAAGGCTTTCTGGGAAATGATAGATAATGAACTGAAAAATAAGTTTGAAATAACTTTTGTAAAACACACACACACACACAACACCCAGAAGCCTTCTTATTAGGAATTGTAAGTAAGTACCAATATACCAAAGGAACAGAAAAGACTTTTTATTTATGCGACAACAGCAGCACAGATACTACTAGCCCAGAGATGGAAAGAAGAGTCCCTTCCAGAAAGGAATGGCAAACTAAGCTGTTAGACTACGCCAAAATGGCAAAACTAACCGGAAAGCTCAGGGACCAAGAAGACAAAATTTTAAAGAAAGAATGGGAGGGAAATATAATTTATTTAGGAGACCATTGAAAGCAAATTAAAGCATTAGCAGGATTTTAACAACACTTGTAATGTAACGAACACTATGGGCAATATGAATAGATATAAAATATAGACTATGATATAAGATGCGGTTGAAAATGTTGACATTAGGACCCATGGAGGGGAAGTCTCAAGATTCAGAGAAATCTCTTTATGTGGATATGTACAGGTATTTGGTTTTGTTATAAATTCATATTTGTAAAAACAAATAAAAAATGTGTTGTTGTTGTTGTGTTTAAAAAAAGAGAATAATGGAAATCTATTAGTATAAAAATGATATTTAATATATAGGCAGAGATTGCAGGAGCATCAGGTATCACATGGAAATCGTACAGGTGGAGCCCAGGACAACCACGTATTTATACATCGGAGCAGGAGCTGGAAGAGTTACAGAGAACGGACAGCAGAGTTTCACACACCATTTCAAAGAAGGGGGTTGAGATTGTAGCTCCCCCTCCACCCCACTGTAAACAGGTTAAAGAAATGCACTTTAAATGAGCCAAAGGTTCTGCACATAATATGCATTTGTGGAAGGCGAGCGGATGGATCATAGAACACTGCGTGCACATTTGTTTCTGTTAAAAGGTAGCGTGAAGATAGAGGAGAAGCCTCCTGCCAAGCTGGGTCTCCTTTGAGCAGGGCGTGGGGAATCTTTGGCCCTACAACTGTGGCTGAACTACAATTCCCATCATCCATCTGGCCATTGGGCACACTTGCAGTCCTGATGTCTGTGTGAATGGATCGTGCATCTAGAGGACATGTCTCATGGGTTCTGGGACAGGAGGTCCTCCAAAGACATCAACCAGGAAAGCATTTTGTGATGGCCTGGGATTCAGACTCGGATGCTGAACCTGAGGAATCCCAGCCTGCACAGGATTCCCCTGCCTCCAGAACCAGCTGAGCTGGGGCTGGGGCATGAGCCTGAAGGGTCCTCACCTGTGCTGGATCCTCAGGTGCAGGCACCAGCTGAGTCTGCTCTGGCTCCTGAGGTGATGGAGGCCCCATTGCCTGCAGGTGCTCCACTCTTAGCCCTGTCAGGGGAAGCTGAGGTTGCCTCTGGGTCCGGTAACCCTCCAGCCTCTCCTGGGCTGCAGAGGCTCAGGGCAGAGAGGCGGAGGGAACTAAGTTCCCACAGGAGGAGTGCTCGCCTCCAGGCCAGGAGAGGCGAGTCACCTGTGGGCCGGGGCCACCCTATGTCTTGGGGCAGATAAAAGCCAGCGAGCCCCAGTCCCAAGTTGCGGGAGCAACATTGTGGTTGCTAGTTCCCGCCCTGGCTCCCTGCTTGCAAGCCTTTTTCTGACTTCACCCGACTCCCTGCCCTGCACCCAGCTTCAGCTACTACGGACTGCCTCCACGTTGCAGCTTTGACCATGGACCAGACTTGGACCTCGCCTCTCGGGTAACCCACAGGACCAGCACACATTTCCTTCAAGGAAGAGTGTTTGCAAAACCGTGGCAGTTCACAGTGTATTGGAACTGGATCTCTTCACTTTCAGGGGAAGAATCATAGAATCATATAGAATCATAGAATCATAGAGTTGGAAGAGACCACAAGGGCCATCGAGTCCAACCCCCTGCCAAGCAGGAAACACCATCAGAGCACTCCTGACATATGGTTGTCAAGCCTCTGCTTAAAGACCTCCAAAGAAGGAGACTCCACCACACTCCTTGGCAGCAAATTGGCACCACACTCCTTGGCAGCAATATGGTTGTCAAGCCTCTGCTTAAAGACCTCCAAAGAAGGAGACTCCACCACACTCCTTGGCAGCAAATTCCACTGTCGAACAGCTCTTACTGTCAGGAAGTTCTTCCTAATGTTTAGGTGGAATCTTCTTTCTTGTAGTTTGGATCCATTGCTCCGTGTCCGCTTCTCTGGAGCAGCAGAAAACAGCCTTTCTCCCTCCTCTATGTGACATCCTTTTATATATTTGAACATGGCTATCATATCACCCCTTAACCTCCTCTTCTCCAGGCTAAACATGCCCAGCTCCCTTAGCCGTTCCTCATAAGGCATCATTTCCAGGCCTTTGACCATTTTGGTTGCCCTCCTCTGGACACATTCCAGTTTGTCAGTGTCCTTCTTGAACTGTGGTGCCCAGAACGTCGGTTTAATCACATCCCCACAGCTATTGTGCATTTTGTTCCTCATGAAGGCAGCTACGTTGAGACCAAGCATGCCAGGCAGTGGTGAAGACAAAGCACGTGGGAAATATAGTGGCTTTCTCTTTTACCAAAATGGCAGCTGGTAATCCCTACTTGGATATTCTGGTTCTTCCCCAAACCTGAAACTCATATGACCTGTGTGGTAGTAGATGGGTTTGTTTAAACTAGGTGGGTCCCAGTTACGTATAAGACATGTAGATGGGAGTGATACCTTCTCAAGAGAAGTTTAACAATCAATTCCTCTTCCCAGAGAATTCTGGGAATTGTAGTCCTGTGAGGGAAATAGGAGGGTCTTTGAACTAATTTCAGCACCCTTAATAGAAAACAGCTCCCAGAACTCCTTGAAGGAAGCCGTTAATGTTTAAAGTGGTGTCATAGTGCTTTAAATGTCTGGTGTAAATGTGGTATAATGTAGGTACATTGATTCTAATAGGTCTACTCTGAGCAGGACTTAATGGGGTACAACCCAAAGATTAGGATCTTTGGTATATGATACTGATTCAAAATATGGATGACTACCATTAAGGGGGCGGGGAAGCTGTCAGGGTCCTGTCAAGCTGTCAGTTGAAGGGTGGCTGCCGTGGGAGCCTGGTCTCTTAGCGGTTGTGGGAGCTCCAGAAGGCAGTGGGTTCAGAAGACAGCTGTCCTGTTCAGCATAGCCAGAGGAGCACTAGAAATAATATTGCTTAGCATTGATAGAACTTAAATCAGAAATTGTGACAACAGCCCTGCAAGGCGGAACATTCTTGCTACATACCCTCCCACATTCCTCAGATGACAATAGGGACATTCTATTCTACATTAGTACCACTGCCAGCGAGTTGTATTTATTGATTAGGCTTCCCTAAATGCAGTACATAAATTCAAAGATTTCTGTGCTTAAAATACTGCAGATTTGTGTGTTTCCTCTAATAACTTTTGTACTTGACGTGGAGGAAATGCTACATCAGTGATACTGATGTAGAATAAGATAAAGGTAAAGGGACCCCTGACCATTAGGTCCAGTCGTGGACGACTCTGGGGTTGTGGCGCTCATCTTGCTTTATTGGCCGAGGGAGCCGGCGTACAGGTCATGTGGCCAGCATGACGAAGCCACTTCTGGTGAACCAGAGCAGCGCACAGAAATGCCGTTTACCTTCCTGCCGGAGTGGGACCTATTTATCTACTTGCACTTTGACATGCTTTCGAACTGCTAGGTGGGCAGGAGCAGGGACCGAGCAACGGGAGCTCACCCCATCGCAGGGATTCGAACTGCCGACCTTCTGATCGGCAAGTCCTAGGCTCTGTGGTTCAACCCACAGCGCCACCTGTGTCCCACTGATGTAGAATAGAATGTCCCTATTTTCATCTGAGGAATGTTGGAGGGTATGTTGTTACCCTTGCATGGGGGGGCTGAAGTGAAGAGAGTGGTAACTACCCTAAGGTGATAGTGGAGAACCAAGGTCAGGACCAAGGTCAGCATGTGGCCCTTTGGGCTTCTCTATCTGGCCCTTGATACACACTGCCATACACACTGCACCAACTGAGCCTTGCATGCTCCTCAAATGTTCTTGCCGGGCCTGGAATGTGTCCTTGAATTCTGATTCTTGCTTCCCTGGATGGAGGTGTGTGTGTAGGCCGCTTTCCAAAGGTAAAATTTGCATTTGTTGCTCCGCCCATTTGTTGCTCCGCCCACCCCAGAAGGTTGCTTGGCAGAAGAAATGGTTGAAAATGTCCCCCACACTCACGCCCTAAGATGAACCTCAGAGTTCATGCTGAAAGCAAGATGCTCCATCTCACGGAAAGTTCCAGAATCAATGGGAGGCCCAGCGCCCCCTGGTGGAAGGAGAAGAAGCCATGGAAGTTTCCTCTAGATGGGTTTAGCCGTTGCCTGCTTCTTCATGGTGCCCTTATGGGGAAAATGAGATTTGGAGGACCGGAGAGAGGGGTGTGCTGGCAGGCAGACCAAGGAGCGGGAAGCGCTTAAACCCAGGCCTTGACTTGGCTGCTCCACTCCTTGGCGCAGCCGCACAGCCCCCCGTCTTCGTACCACCGCCACTTCACACCCTTGTACGTGGCCCGGGCCCAGGGCTGGAAGCACAGGAAGAGGCGGAGACGCCTGACCAGGCCGCAGTAGATGGCCATAGCCACCACGATGAGCGGAGACATGATGACGAAGCCGAGGATGATCAGGGCGGAGGAGCTGTTGTCGTCCAAGATGGTCTTGCAGTAGGAGGCTGTGGAGTGGAACACCTGCGAGGGGGTGGGGAGAGAGAAAGTCAGAAGATGTGGGAATGGGAAAGAATCGGGACCAGGGCATTGTTACCCAGGCTGCCTATCATAGGATCGTAGAGTTGGAAGTGTTATCAGAATTCTAAGGTCTCAAATATAAATTAAACGTTCATAAATGTACAAGGCAAACACATACATACCTAAGTATATAAACCACGTGTCTGAAATAGTACAGGAGAGCAATCCTGAAGCTGTTTTGACTCTCCCAGTGACCTCAAATATTCCTCTGCAGTAAGGGAGGCAAATGGGGAAAGCCTTCCCATTGTCTTTTTGCTTGCAAATCCTGTCTGAAGGGCGTATTTGTGTATGAATAGGGTGACCTGGATTCAGGAACTAAACTATTAACCATCACAAAAGAATGGCCAGACTGCCAAGGTAATGCTATCACTGACCATTATCTTGGCAAACAGGATTTCTGCTGTAGACCGCCTCCTTCTGTGTTGTATGGATGATGTTGCGGGGGTGGTCTTGGGCTACAGGGTGGGCAATTTCAAAGGTCTATATAAGGGCTTGTGCACCATTGTTCTGGGTTCTCTCCTCCCTCATGTGTGTGGTGAGTGGGGACCCTGTTGCAACAGTTCCTTGAATAAAGATCAGGCTTACTAGCCGCTTTGCTTCTCAATATATTCTGGTTGGCCTCTGTTTTCTCCTACCAATAGGGAACCCACTTAAGCACTCTATACAGGCTCTTGGATACCCCATAAGGGAAAAGGAGCAGGGTTTTTTTTCTTATAACAGAAGGGATCCTGAGGATCATCTAGCCCAACCCCCTGCAATGCAGGAATATGCAGCTGTCCCTTACAGGGAATGAACCCACAACCTTGGCGTTCACAGCACCACGCTCTAACCACCTTCGCTGTACTCACTTTTTGGCGCCTGCTGGAAACATTCCTGTTTAGACAAGCCTTCCCAGATGCTTATAAAGTTAAGCTAATTTCAATCTGTTTTAGTATTTTAACTTTTGAAGTGTGGCTGTGACTTTAATTGATTTTACTGTTCTGTTTTTTGTAGAGGTTTGTTCGTGGGTTGGTTTTTTGTTTTTTTGCAATCAAGCAGTGTATAAATTATACAAAATGAATAAGTAAATCATTACCACAACAAACAATGTGTGCTCCACTTCTACAACTTGCTATTGGCCACATTCACACCATACATTTAAAGCGGGGGGGGGGTTAGACCCGAGAGGACCAGGGTTCAAATCCAGTGTGGTGTAAAAGTTAGAGTGACAGACTATGACCTGGGAAAGACCAGGGTTTGAATCCCCACTCAGCCATGAAATTCACCGGGTGACCTTGGGCCATCTCTTAGCCTATCCTACCTCACAGGGTTGTTGTGAGGGTGAAATGAGGAGGAGGAGGAGAGCCACATACACCACCTTGAGCTCCTTGGAAGAAAAACGTTGTCTATAAATATAATAAACAAGCAAACAAACAAATCCCTCACTCAGCCATGAGGAAAGAGGGAGGAGGAGAACTATAAGCTCCTACCAGGAGATGCCAGGGATTGAATCTGGGGCCTTCTGCATACAAAGCAGACACTCTGCCCCTGAGCAGATAATAGTCACTCTAATAGCCACCACTGTGCTCACCAAAAATTAATTTTCAGCCCTTCACCATTTGCAAAGCATTCATGTCACTCAGTTCTCCCCACTCCTTTCACCGCTTCTCTACACCCTGATGTCAAAAAGGTGATGTTATTTGTATCTGATGCCCTCTCTAGGTTAATTAATATTGTTAGATCCAGAGAGGGAGGAAAAGAAATGAAGTTTGATGTTGGAGGGGATAGATGAGACTCGACGGATGAGCAATGATGAGGGGCAACCTGAGCTGGATGACGCGCCTCCTTCCCTCTGTGCCAAACCCATCCCTCACTTTTGCCAATGGGAAAGGCAGCTTCAAGAGGTAGCGTTTATACTCGGCCAAGCAGGAAATTAGAAATGAAACAAGCTTGCAACAAACCGCGGCTCCAGCTCAAAGCTGATGCTCTACATACAGTGGAACTAAGGGTGCTTCTGAATATTATTTGCTGGGGGCTCCAAGTGTGCTTGTGGTCTTCCCATTGAGGCATCTGGATGGCCACAGTGACGCCAGGATGCTGGACTCGATGGGACATTGGCCTGAACCAGCTAGAATTTCTGAGGTTCCTATGGTCCTAGCAAACACATGAGACTACCTTTGGCCATGTCTGATCATCAATCTGTTTAGCTGGGAACTGGCAGTGGCTCTCCAAGGATTCAAGCAAGGGACATTCCCCCACCCACCCCACTCACACACAAAAACAAAGATCACCACAGCCAATCACAAACAAACAACCACACCCTAGGCCAACCCCAACCTCTCTCACCACCAAAGGAACACAAGTGAACAGCAGAGAACCTGCACAAGCGACGCTGACACAAAACCCTACATACATTAAGCAAAATAGAAACATCGCCACCCGACCCCACCCATCTCCCCCCCCTCCACCCCTTTTCTTCCTAATGTCTCAGCAAATGAAACTGATTTGTAAAAATGTTACATGGAAAAAATACTTCTGTAAAACAAGAAAATCTTTAATAATAATAATAATAATAATAATAATAATAATAATAATAAAGCAAGGGACATTCCCAGCTGTACTGAAGAACCAGCATGATGTCATGGTTAGCGTGAACTTGGGAGTCGTGGGTTCATCCCACCCATCCCAACCAGGAATCTTGCTGGGTGGCAGAGACAAGTCCACAATCAGAAACCAGAGAGGAGGGAGGCCAAGAGGCAGAGATGAATCAGGCTGGTGAAGATTCCAGGGCATTTCCCCCTCCTGCTGTGACCAGTTTGCCTCCCACCCCTGGTATCCCAGGACCAGAAGAGGTATGAAGGGGGCAGAGGAGAGACAGGAGTCTCAGATTGCTTAGGAGGGTACCTGGGAGAGGAAGGAATTTAGGCAGCTGTCTTCAGCCTTCATAACTGTCTCCTTGAGGCAAGACCTACTGATAAGAGTTGTTGTGCCCATTAGGCTTGGCTCCCGTAAGCAGCCTTGGTTTTTTTTCAATAAAGAGTTAACCTTATTTACTCCGTGTGATTTATTGCTGGCTGGCTCCCTGACAATGTCCCAACAAGGGAGAACCTCTATAAAAGGTGCAAATCAGGCCCAGTGAGGAGCATGGGCAAGGAGTCTCAAGGGCCAGACAGAGGGCCACATTTGACCTCACCCCCAGACCTGAGGTTCGCCACCCCTGCCTTAATGCTCCAGGATCCTACCACAAGCCCGTCATCATGGCGTCGAGTTTCTCAGCATGACAAACGTTCCTCGTTCGAAAAGTAAACCAGGAGGGGGAAATAAGTGAGCTTCTATGAGCCATTGCTCCTTGGGCTCGTCCATCGGCTTCAATCTCATAAAGGGAAATGAAATGACAAAATGAAACTGCCTACAGATTGAGTTCCCATGTGGCTGCTCTGCCTCTTCTTCCCTGTTGTATATTCAATCTCCAGCCTGCCAGCCGGCCCTGATAAATTGCCGAGAGAAGCTAGCAGTCATCAGATTAAAGGTTTAATTATCCATTATGTCTGCCCGGCCTGGTGACAGCTCCTCAAGCTCTTACCCAGGGAACAGGCCGGCGGGAGATTCAGGTGACAGCTCTCACCTGGATGGCTTCCCAGTTCTGCTCAAGGGGACTTGGGGGTTTCTCAAAAGGGTTTGAGAAATGTCCAGCAATGGCATTAAAGTCTCTATGTAATAGAACACCTGTATTGCATGCAGAAGGTCTCAGGTGCAATCCCCAGCATCTCCAGGTAGGGCTGGGGAATCTTCTTTCTTCCTTCTTCTTTGGCGATCACTCGTAGCCAAGTAAAATTGTCTTCCATAAACACGGTTTTAACAATGAGTCCATAAGTGACTGAGGAGGCCTATTCTGGATCCACACGTCCTTCCACAGTGAGGACATTGGTTTCCAGGCGGGAGTTGATCACGGTGTGGATTTGCCAAGCATGCCTTCCTCTTAGCACGTTTCTCCCTTGCGTCCTGAGTTCGAGTGTCTTCAAAGCCCATGACACCTTTGGTAAAAGCTGTTCTCCAACTGGAGCGCTCACAGGTCAGTGTTTTCCAGTTGTCAGTGTTTATACTACATTTTTTTAGATTTGCCTTGAGAGAGTCTTTAAACCTCTTTTGTTGACCACCAGCATTACGCTTTCTATTTTAAAGTTCAGAATAGAGTAGTTGCTTGGGAAGACGATCATCAGGCACCCGCACAACATGACCAGTCCAACGAAGTTGATGTTGAAGAATCATTGCTTTGACACTGGTGATCTTTGCTTCTTCCAGTACACTGATATTAGTTTGCCTGTCTTCCCAAGTGATGTGTAAAATTTTTGGGAGACGCTGTTAATGGAATCTTTCAAGGAGTTGGAGATGGAGTTTATATGTGGTCCATGAAACCCTGGACAGCTGCAGTCAGTCAGTGTAGTAGGCAATACTGAGTCTGCAAACAGCTCCCCCCCCCTTCAAAAGTAGAGTGTGGATATCTAACTGTTGGAGATGCAATAGGGAGAATGCTTCTCTAAAACCTATGTTTTTTCATTGTCCTATATTGACAGATTTTTGGCAGGAGGTAACTGAAACCATCAACAGAACTGTACGGAACAACCTTACATTTGCAGAGCAAAATATCCTCTTGAATTACCATATTTTTCGCTCTATAAGACGCACCAGACCACAAGACGCACCTAGTTTTTGGAGGAGGAAAACAAGGAAAAAAATATTCTGAATCTCAGAAGCCAGAACAGCAAAAGGGATCGCTGCGCAGTGAAAGCAGCAATCCCTCTTGCTGTTCTGGCTTCTGGGATAGCTGCACAGCCTGCATTCGCTCCATAAGACGCACACACAATTCCCCTTACTTTTTAGGAGGGAAAAAGTGAGTCTTATAGAGCAAAAAATACGGTATATGCCCAGCACATGGAACCTTACAAAAGGACAATACGAGTGGA